TTTTACTTATTTACTTACACACACACACACACACACACACACACACGTATGTATGTATATAGAAAGAAAGTATCTAACCGAAACTGTCGCATTATGCTAGCTGATCTTTCCGCATCCTGATCATGCATTCTTGTTTGCCAAGCAAACAAGAATGAGAACAAAGTTGGATCATTGTACTTGCTTTATGCAAAGCAAGTACAATGATCCAACTTTGTTCTGTTTAGTTCGATTTAGTTCGAAAACAGAGTTCGATTCACATCGAATAAAATAGAAAAGCGGTCTTTCAAATATCAATCCGTTTCTGCATTTGTCGCGTGTATTTTCTGTAGTTTTGTATTTCGACATCAAAAATTGAATGCAATACGTCAATAAATATATTCGTTCTGATAAATTTGATTATTTAATGAAATAAAATAGATGAGTAAAATAGACATGCGTTATTAATTCATATTAATTCATATCAATTGCACGCATATCTATAATTTTTAAATTCAATCTCCCGCTAATGATATTTTGTATAAAAAATTGTATTTTTTAAATTTATTCTTTAGGAAAATCATTTTCTAGCTGAATCGAAAATTATATATATCATTTTAGACAATTTATAATATTATGTGAACAGAGTTAGTTTAACAACTTAAAAAAAGTAAACGAGTCACGTATGTATTTGGATTAATATAGAGTTCTGTATATTAAATTGAATTTACTAAAAATTTCTATTGTTTTTTGCTTACTCCAATTTGCGATAAAAATAATTGAAATAAAATGGGTTTGATTGACAATTTATTTATCTAACTGATCTGAAATTGATTCCTGTATACTCAAAACGAGCCAGATCGCAAGATATTCCATTTTCCAGTTCTCGTTTCCCGCAAAAAAGCGTCCCTACCTAACCGGATTGGCGTAATCTTTGGGTTCCTTGGCCTTGTCCTTTTCCACTGGCGGTTTCAACGGACAAATGTGCTCCTCCGACTCGTCCTGAGTCTTGTTCTGGCAGTCGCACGTCGGCATCCCGATTCCTTACTCGTACCACGAATTTCACGTATCACTTTTCAAAAATTGACAGATCGCCGGGCGGTTTCCGACGAGGAGGATGCGAGATTAATATCGGTCCCGATCTTCTCGATGCCCCTCCGACGCTTCGGAGCATCAAGGGAGCAAGCCAAGGGACACTTCGCGATCGTCCTGTCGACGTGGATGTGGATGTGAGACAGTAGGATAACACCAGCCGCACACGTCTTTGGCCGAAACGGAGCGGCCGGTCGATGATGTCGGAGAATAATTGGCGGCGATTGTAACGAGGACCTTTATATGACGCTCGAGACAGACATCACGTCTCGTTCCCACCACATCGCCACCAGTCGTGGCTGCCAATCGCCGGACACGCCGTTTTTCTCGAACATGGACACGCGTAACCGGTCGTGGTAGCTGATAGCTACAAACGCAAGTATCTCCGCTGATGCTGACGATCTGCATCCGGTTTACACGATCACTTGCGAACGCACGTATGAGGTGTCCGGCGAGTCGGGGTGGCTCAGGTATCCCCCTCCCCCCCACTCCCCCCCCCCTCGCCCCAAATCATGGAGGATACGCATTTCCGCTCGTCTCTTAAAAGATAGCTTCATGGTTGTTCGACAAGGACTAATCTACGGCGTGAAACTTAGCTTAGAAATTTTATTTAGCCAGGCAAATCTGTGGTAAAGATTAAATCCTTATCGCGCGAGTGATAAAAATGTACGCAGATTTTTTTTTTTTCTCTTGCGCTTTTACCGAAAGCGAGTGTTGATCACACGATAAAAAAATATTTTGCGCAATGCGAAGATATAGTTACATCTTATTTATGTTAAATCAAATGCCTTAATTAGATACTCTATTTAGGTCACTAGGCAGTTCGTCATTTCATCGATCGGCGATGAAAGCCAGATGCAAAGTATCTATAGTTTCATTAATTCTTCGTGTGAATCCATTAGCCTTCTCCTGCGTAATAAAAAAATATCTCAATGTAAGCAAATATGGGTCAAGATTGGCGCATGCGTTTGATTCGTCGCAATTCAGAGTAAACTTTGGACAAGCTACGTCGTACAACAAGTCCTAAGGTTTTCTAAATTTATCCGTCTTGGACTATCGCCTAAAAATGACTGTGTATTTGTTATATAAATTTCTTACATCGAATAGAGCAAAATTTCATCTATTATTGAATTATTGAAAAATTCCGTTTGTTTAGAAATTAATAATCCATATTACGTGTTTTCCAATTGAAAATTGTGAGCAACTTAGAATCGCGAGGGGACTGTACACGCCATAGAAACGTCCATCGTCCATCTCTAGATCGATCGGTCGGTTTCCCGAGGGATTGCGTTCCTCGATTGCGTTCCTTTTTCGTATTTCGCAAGTTAGATTCGCATGAAAATAACGGCGCGGAAAACTCGCCGTTTCCCTCATCGTCAGACCGACAAATTGGAGTTATTCTCGCGCGGTTATAAGGGTCACCGGAGACGTTACGTAACCAATCCCCTTCGATCCCCACGATTGCACACCTGCCTGCTCCGAGGAAACATGGTACGTGGCTCTTTTATTTCCGTTTATATGACTATTTCTTTCCTGGTGCGTGGGAGTATCTCTCCGCGGGGAATCACCGGGGGTGAGTTCCATCCGCGGGATTTCCTCGAGCAATTCGCTCATAAATTGCTTTGAAGCTCCTCGCGGGATATCGATAAATAAATGTCATTTTGCCGGACCGGTTGTACGCGTTTTTTTTAATAACTGGCGAACCACTTTAATTTCCGCCGTGTGCGTTTCGAATCGTTAAACGCGTGAAATTTTATATTGTCGAGATAAAGCATGATTTTCTGCTTGCTAAAACGTAATCCTTTCTTTTTTTTTTTTGTTAGAGAAACTGCCATAATTTTTCTAGATATTAAAATCGATATTGTATTAATTTTTAATTACAGATAATTTTCTTCCATAAATTTTGATTTTAATACTGTCAAAAGTAAATGTCTTCGCTGTTTGTTTAATTATCAAAAGTTAAAATAATGTCAATAAGTGCCGGATGTAAATATGTAAAAAATAAATTACATATCATTACAAAATTAATTACATACAATTAACTGTTATATTAATATGCAAATATATTGGCGTTATTTTAAGTTTTGAATTCGTCAGCAGAGCTTACTTTAATCTTTTTCATTAGCCTAACTATATTTTTAATGTACAGTTGACTTCCGGTTTTTTTGGATTACAAGAAACTCTCTCATGTTATTGACACTGGCGGTGACGATGATAATCTATAATGACCTCACCCTGTGACATTTAGATAATATCTGGTATTTCCAGAAGCACAGTTGTTATGATTATTTCATCGATCACGATCACTGCACGGTCGAGAAAATATGATGTATATTGATATTCACATTGAGTTCACGAGTTATTATTCAATTTTATAAGCAAATCTTGGGAGATGGACCAGAGCAACAGAGTCGAAACTGTTGGTCGTTCGACAATCTTTGTTCCGCGACACGGTTTGCTGGATCGTCGCTACTTTTAGACCAACGACTTACTAACCGATGCTCTACTTATTGCATCAAGTGCATCAGTGCATCGAGTCGTTTCTCGGTAAGTGAAAAATAATCGAGATACGCGAACTTAGAAATATCTACATATTTGATGTCGTGGTACATTTTCGATACGAATTGATAGAAGAATATATACGTATAACTTAATGAAATATCAATAGTTTAAGTTATTAATAATATTTATGATTAACGATTGAAGATAAAAGAGTTTCCCTCGAGCTAAACTTCTGCGGACGAAATATAAGTAACATAACAAATTTTTTTGTTGAATTTAAATGAATTTTATTTTATATTCATAAATATATTTCAAAATTTTTATATTCACATTCTATATTTTCTTGATATAGATAATAATTTCATATAAATGTATTTTAATTCCGTATTATATATTAAATACGATAAATTGAAAAATTAAAATAATAGAATTAAGAAAAATAATAAAATTTATCTTCCTGATATTTTTGTATTTTTAAGAATAATTGATTCTAAAACGCATCTATATAGCGAAATTTACTTTTATATGATTTAAACTTTAATTATAATTTTAAATTATCAAGTAACAGTAAACAGTAACAAAATTTATGTGGCTAAGAAGATTTCTTCGGAAAATTTTCTTTGATATAATTACTGAAAGATCCGTCATATGATATTATAAAATGTGCATTTATTGTATATTTGATGAAATAATATACTTCAAGTAAACATCCATCTTATGATTATCGATTACTTAACAACAAATATGTTTTTATAGCAGACCAATTACACGAGTCAATTAAAGATTATGACACAGCAATCATTAGAAGATTAATTCAATCTAGAAATTATGTTTAATCTTTTTTATTAAGAAAAAAATATGTACGTGTGAGAATATCAAGATAAGTATAATCTAACAACATGATAAAGCTAAGAGACATAAATATGATAGAACGACATGTTTTTATTTACATCTCTTTATTTTGTGTAACGAAAGTTTCAAATTATTCAAAACACTTACTAACAATTTTTTATCACCGTCGTTTATTTAATCTATTTAGAACAACTTTTGATCGAAACACGATACATTTATATCGCTTTTCCAAATCGACAATCTCAATCAACCGCGTCCAATGATTTTCAATTTAATTACAAACGTGTTCACGATTCTTCGACGTGGTGGAAGACTCCTCTATTGGAGTGGCCCTTTCTATTTATTTCAGGCTTGTTTTTCTTCACAATAGGAGCGATGGCTCTCTACAAGCGAATGATGTAGTCAGTGTCGTCTTTTTGCCCAACCTTTCAATTTCGCTCCCTATCACACGCGTGACGCACAATAGCCGGCGCTTTTACGACGTGCGGCGCCCATCGATTTTGGATTTAATCGATAGCGATATGAATTGAATAAACCGTATCGTCCCAATCAGACATCAGACGATGACGTTCTCGGTGCTACAGCAATATCCGCGCCTCGGAATTGGTATCTGTATTTGCGATAGGAGTATATCGTCAATATCTCCCCGCGGCAAACTTTGGGAGTCCACAATGCACGCGCGATTTGCCTTATCAGTCATGGACGTGCGAGAGCAGCCGTGCATTCGTAAATTCTAAGCCTAATGCAATCGATAATTACGATTGTATAACCGACGTTCACCATGTAACGTATGCATAATATGCGAGAACGCGCGTGATCCGCGTCAGAAATATCAACTCGATACGGTGAGACATATCATTACCTCCTAAATCGGTAACAATCACTCGCTCGATTATATATTGTCTTGAGGATATTGTGTGTGTGTGTGTGTGTGTGTGTGTGTGTGTGTGTGTGTGTGTGTGTGTTATTTTTTAGAACGATAATTACAGTTACGTGCAATATATAATGTCTATACTCTCAAAATTTGATATTGTTAAAATAAAATTATATTATGCCTAAATACTTTAATTATCAAATAATTATTACAAGTTAATTTAAACAAATTATTGTATGTATATATTTAATATATAATAGTGTGTAATAATAATTTTTAATAATGTCTTTTCAAAAATCATGCGATCGTTTATATTATATAAATTTATTATATAATATTTGATATAAAGAAATTATGAATTTAATTTACTTATTCCAGTTGATAACTTATTCCATTTGACAATAAATTCCACTTCAGAAAATGAAATAAATCTCGTTTTTTTTTAAATAAATCGCATTATCAATCATATTTTATAATTTTTATTACTTTAATACAATATAGAATATATAACTCATATCATAAAATTATAAAATTGTGAAACTTTGCAGAACGCAATTAATTTTTAATATGAATACTAAAACTATTAATATATGTTAATTTCTCTAGAATTTCTATATTGTAACATATTCCGCTATTATTTATTATAAAAGACTGAGTTCTCGAGTTTTCATTTTATTCATATATGGTGAAAATATAAGGTAGCTATTCTCTAAAATCGAATCGAGTGAAAATGTCTCTGATTGAAACAGTAAAACAATATTTCACTGGTAATTAGTGATTATTAACTGTATTTCAATGAAAACACTCCCACTTAGGCTTTTCTGTTTTATATTT